TAGAAGGAATCGCAGCAAAAACCAGCTGTAAAAGTTGCCATTGTTTGTGCCTGGCGATGAAGGAGCAGCAGCATCAGAAGCTTTGGCATTAAATATGGCGCATTAGTCACAAGTGTAAAGCGAATGAAGGCAGCTACCCCCAATCCCCCTCTCTGTCTCTCTCTCTCTCTCTCGCTTCCCTTGTCGCCAGCTTGTGATAATGGCTCATAATGAATACAGCAGACCACCACACCAAGGCGACTTTTTTTTTTGGTCTAAAGCTGAAACTAAAGACCAACCCAAGTCATTGAAATTCAGGGCACAGTGCGTTTGCAATGCAAGCCAGCTTGAAAGCCAACTTAAACTTTGATAAAACAAAAACTCCTTGGATAAGACCTGGCTGATACCCAGTAATGTACAAAAAGACTCGCAACTAGTATATATTTTTTCTGATTACTCTCTTTTTTTTTTGACAAATATTAATAATTTGCACAACATTTTTACTTTTATATGTGTAGAGTAGTCCAAATGAGGAAAAAAACACATTCACATAGATTGGGCACGTCAAATTCAGCATACCTTACAAAATGTATAAATATAAATGGTAAGAATTAATTTTAAGAACAAAACGCAAGTTTGTCCTATTAAAAATGACGAAGCAAAAAATGTAAAAAGATTTCTATTTGAAAAGAATTCATTTTAAGAGATAAGTGTCAAGAATGCATTCTTACAAATTTTACTATGATCCTGACAAAAATATATTAACGTACATGGCCTTAAAGTGGGAGCTTATATTGAACTCATTTTCGTTCTCTCTCTCTCTCTCTCTCGCGCTCTGTCTCCCACTTTGGAGAAAACTGGACACTTAGTGAATGACCAGCAGTTTGGGGAACCAGTTTACGGTTCCGGTACTCCACAAAGGAAAACACAGACTGTAAAAAATGGAATTGCCACTCAAAGAAATTGCAGTGGGCCACTAGCCCCGGTGCCAGCTTGCAAGCTACCTGGTCTGCCTGGTAAGTGTGTCGCCTTTAAAGTGATTTATGTGAAAATCTGAGATTAACGTACATTATGGTGTTTGTGTGTGTGTGTTTTTGTGTGTGTGTTTTGTGTGTGTGTGTGTGCAGAAGTTAAGGCGCAGATACAAAGGCAACTGACGCCACAAAAGTTTGCCAGGCCTGGTCTCAGGTCTGCTGCTGCTGCTCCTTGTTGATAATGATGATAGTGTTGCGTACGAAAAATTTATTACTCTGGAAATTGCATTATGAAATATGCATAAAATGCCAGACAACCAGACAGCCAGGCCCAGACCCAGGCTAGCTGGCTGGCAGCTGTAATTATGTGGAATGCACATATTTAAATGTTATTAAATGAAAGTCAAATGAGTTGTACTCTTAGCCTTTGTAAATCAAATCATAAACCATTATAAAATGAAAATTTATGACAAGCCATTTAATTTGTTGAAAATGCCATCAACATTAAATTACAAATACTTTTAGCGACTCATTAATTTTCTTCTTTTTCTTTCATTTTTTATTGACTGAAAACACACACAAAATGTGTGTCCACTTGGCCATTTTCAGACCAAGTTAAGCAATCAGATTTTAAATACAGCTACAGAGTGTATTCTGAAAGCAAATACACTTCAATGACAAAGATATGCAGCAGCATTAACAAGAGTGTGCAAAGTTGGTAAATTTAAAAACTTGGCAAATTGTTGGTTCAAATTAAAGACGCGCACTATAAAATTGAAACGTTTGACCTTGTTGCAGATTGGGTTCTGGACTGGAAGTAACACAAACACACACACACACATACCTCCATACAGACTCCTCTTACGTGCTGCAACATGTTGCTTGTCATGCAACGCGTCGTATACGTAATATCTGAGGAAACGTTTCAATGTTGCGTTCAGTTGCATTGCCTTCTGTCAAATTGTGTGCGAAAATAAAATGAGGCAAAAGAGCAAGAATCAACTGTACTCAAGGACATTTCTCGTAGTGTCTCATTATTTTTCATATTTCCTTTAACGGCCAGCCAAAATAGTAGAAACCTAAAATACTTGGCAAAAACTTGCACACACAAACACACACACACACACACACATGCGCATGTGTATGTTGCACGCCCAGTTGAAACTTAGTCGTTGGCAATCACGCCCACTCCACTCCACTCCAAAGCGAGCCACGCCTTTTGCCATATCAGCTGCCGAAAAGGCAAAACCACAAAATGTCGCCAGTTTCAGTTATGTTGTCGCTGCCACATCAGTGATGTGTGTTGTTGCCGTCAGCAGTAATAGCAGCAGCAGCATCAGCATCACCAACAACAGCAGGAGCAACATCATCGTCAGCAAACTAAGCAAGTAACACATCAACCCACCAGAGATCCCTAAACCAAACAGCAGATGCCAAAATCATCGACACGGCGCTCTCGTAATAGCGTGCAACATTTTTGTGACCAGCACAGTGCCTCTGGCAAAATGCATTGATTGGTATAGTAGTTGGTTTTGTGTGGCTGTTGGCGACTTTGTGTTGCCATATGTTGCACGAGAAGCAACGTTTACCAACGACGCCGTAGGCTCATTATAGCCAATAACAACGGGCCAAAAACGGTGACTGCGGCGGCACATCACCAAACAACATTTCATTAAAAGCAGCTCAAGGTTTGTGAATGCAGTTGATAAACTTTTTCGTTTATTTTTCCACTTTTTTTTTATATTTGTTGGCAGCAGCAGCAAAACTTTTTAATGGATTTTCCGATAATTTAGAAATAAAAAATTTGAAAATCTTGGAAAGCTTTAGCGAACTTGAAATGCACTTATTTATTGATTTATTTTTTATATTTTTCCTTACCGTCTGAGTAGTTGGCGTTTTAGTTATACTACTTTAACCAGTCTCATAATTTACTGCATAAAATGCCTTAAATCAAGTTTTGTTTATCTCCGCTTTTTATAGTTCTTTAATTATAAGTACTTCAATTATAAATACTTCATGTATAAATTATTAAAGTCAGAAACTTAATACTTTATGTGTCCATTTCAAGTTAAATTTGATGTTGCCAGAATAAAAATTTCTTTACAGAAATCTCTTTTTAACTCACAAGCTTAAATTAAATATTCACCATAATCAAATACTTAAATTTAGATACTTCTTCAAATAACTTTCAATGCAAAACCTTTTACAGAGCAACATAGTAAATGCCCAAATTGTGAGCTAAATTCCGGTTTCTAAACTCTCCGTGGGTCAATAAAAAAAAATGTTTTGCACTTTTAGAAAGTTCTTCTCATTTCGGCTCCACCATAAAAGGAATGATTTTTACCGTAGTAGAAGAGCTAACTATGCATAGTTTTGCATATTAATAAACAGCAGAGTCATCAAAAAAGTAGAAGCAACAGCAGCACTGGATGAGAGTTCAGGAGCATCGCAAAATATGCGAAAAAATCTTAGCAAGGCTGCTCAGGTATTATGCAATTTGCTCGACATTTATAAATATGCGCAGCGTTTGACAGGTGCATTAACGAAGTTTCAGACACGGTCCCAGACAGAGGGCGCTCAGATAAAAAATGATGCGAGTAGGAAAGCAATTTGCTTGATTATGTTGAACAGTTGACGGACGGGCAGCTGCCGTAGACCCCGTTGCCATTCAGTCAACCTGAGTCTACCTCGAGTTGGGGTGTGGCATGGAGAGCAGACCAGAATGGAAGGATGAGGCGCATAAATCGCTGACGCTTGACGCCAAGCAGATCTGTCGCATAAGTCATGTCAAATTACGTGCATCAGACAACGGCCAGCAGGTAACACGTAACAGGGGCATAGGGAGCAGAGAGAGAGCCAAGAGCCAAGAGACGAGAGCCAAGAGCCAAGAGCCGTCAAAGGTGAGTTGCAAGAGTCGCACTCGCTGCTGATAAATGAATGAAAAATTACATTCAATTAAGGGCGAAACTTGAATGTTTTGTTGACATTTTCTGAACTTTGAGCGTAAAACAATAAATTGACAAGAAATCAAAATTGACTAGGACTTATGCCCCCATCATGTATCCACACACTGGTGCATCTTTATAAGAAATTCAATTTTCCTAATATTTTCCATAAAATAAGAGTTGAAATGTAGTCTTCGATTGCACACACTTTAGCCTCATTTTATTTAAGCATCAGGTATTGAAATACAATGCGTTAAAAATGAACAACGGTGATTTATTTTGTGAGCCATCACTCCAATCAGCAGGAAATCGAAAAACTCAACAACTCAGTTGAAACGTCAAAAGATGATAAGTGAAGGAAGGAAGGAAAAGCGTAATGTAGCGAAAATGTGAAAATCTTACTTGCTAGGGTTGCTTGACAAAAACAACAATTCGCTGTCGCAATTCAATTGATTTGTAATAGTGTTAGCAAGTGTGCAAGTTGTGTGGATATTTAAAATAATATTATATATTTAATACAGCATATATATTTAATTACAGGCAACATGCTCTTCTTCAAACATACTATACTATTTTCGTATTATTTTTATTGATTGAGGTTTTGAAACAGTCAAAGCTAGTCAGATCTTGCGAATTGAAAGTTTATATTTATATAAATGTATGGCAGCCCTAAAAGTGAAAGGACGCAGACCGATGTCTCTGCACAAGTGGCGTGCCACTTAAATGAGCTTGTCAACTTGGATTTTAGAACATTAATCACATGACTCGCGACAGACAGACAGAGAGAGAGAGAGAGAGAGAGAGAGAGATGAGTGTGGCTGGAACTGGAACTTTAACTGTGACCCTCCGGTCCCAGCCCGCCCCGGTTACAGTCTGTCTATCTGTCTGTTGCTAATGGCGGTCGATGGGGCAGGCGTGGCCGTTACTGTTAGCAAGGAATCGGATAAACAAATTACATTTGGAGTTAATGACAGCTAGAAAGAATTTCTGGTTTCCCCAACAACAACAACAACTCAACAACAACAACAATTCAACATCAGCAACATTATCATCGTCTATATTCGAATTATTGTGCGTGTATTTGAATGTGGATTACACTTACCTATCATACTCTCGATTATCCTCGTCACAGCGATTATCCTGCAGCTCGCGCCAACTCTTGCCATGCCGGCAGGTAGTCACCATAACCATATCGCGTCCATTGTGCAAATGGAAGAGCGAGTTGCGCGTTTCCGATCCAATGCCATGAACGTAGCTGCAAATGCCAGAAGAAATAAAGTTAAAGTTGAACAGTTCAACAAAATGGCAAGGAATATATATGGAGATAAAGATACATATCTTAGACTTATCGATGTGGCTCGTGTACACAATGCTTTGGTCATATTAAGCTGGCAGATTGCAGAACACATAAAAAGCGGTGTCAAAATCAATTGCAATAAAGCAGCTTCAAATGTGGCAAAAAAAACAAAAACAGAGGGTCCTTGGGGAACGATGCGACTAGCAAGGAGAGGCAGAGTTGAGCTCAAATCTGCGCTGGGCCGCAAAAGCAGAGCAATTGAAACAAAAGATGCTTACAACAATGGACAGAAGCACACAGATACAGACACACACACACACACACTGATACCAGGCACATACATGTACAGTTAACGTTTTCGAGTGTATGGGCCAAAACAAAATGGCAGCTGCTAGAAGAACCAAAAACAAAAACAAAAACAACAATAGCATCGACTGCCGCAGCAGCAGTCGAGCAGAAAAATAGCTAAGGCAATGCCAGTCGCCTTAGAAATAGCAAAACACACACATTGTTCTGTATCTGTACACTCAGAGATAAACGCTGTATCAAACTTAAAGTGTAACCATTCCTATCAAAATTTAAATTTTAAATTCAATTCGCTTTTGTTAAAATTTTCGTTTTATAAATAATATTTTAAAGTGATAGCCAGGTTCATTTAAGATGTGTAAAAACTAAATATGAGTAATCTTTTTTAAATGCAACTATCTTAAAATAACAACATGCGTACTTAAAATCACTTTTTTTAAATTTCGGAATTACCATAAAACATTAATTAAATTCCAAACTCTTTTCTCATTAAAACTTTATGCTCGTTTGTTTTTCTATGTGTATGTGTGCTTTAGCTTGTGCTTGTGCGTATGTTTGTATATGTGTGAGCAATTTCCTTCTGCTTCGCTTGCAGTTGAGCAAATTTCATAGACAATGAAGTACGCGCCACAGCAGCAGCAACGCAGCCGACCACAGATTGGGCAACGCTGATTTCCGTTTGCCGACTGCTGCTTGCTGCTTGCTTGCTTGCTGGCCAGCAGCAGTAGACGTGGCCAGAGCAGCAGGACCAGTAACAGCATGAGCATGAGCATGAGCTGTGGCAGTCAGTAGTAGTAGTCAACAGTCAGCAGAACACAACCAGGCACACACACATTGGGAGTTCACTTTGGATTGCTGACTGTTTGGTTTTTGGGGAGGTCAGGCTTTAAGTGAGCGCAAACTATAAGTTATTTGATTTAATCAGCGTGTCATTGCGGTTAGCTATGGATTTGAACTGAAACAAATGTGATTTTGTTATAGAAATACCAAAAATGGTACCATCATTCCAAATCCCAACACAATTCTGTGGTTGACTTTCGAATTAAAATGAACATATTTGCTTCAAGCCATGCGATAGCTAACCAAAAGAATTTTCGGTTAATACAGCCGCAAAATTAACCCAAAATTTCTTGAATAAACTCGTTGTAATTAGAAGGAAATAAATGATGTTGGCATTGATGGCCAATTCACCGCGAAGTGAAGCCAATTTGTATTGTTGCACGCTTATTCAAAGTGTTTCGCACTTAAGCAAAAAGTAAAACGAATTTGTATTTCTAAAGTGTCAAAAAATTGTAATGCAATAAAAGCTGAAAGAGCTTTACAAAATATATATAAATTTCTAGCTAATACTACAATCAAATTGTCAATTACGACTGTCAATTAATTTGCATAAGCAAAACTGATTGAATGCCCATAAAATTGCGGCTCAACAGCTCATCATAATCATTCTCAATGGGCGGGTGAGGGGACTCTGCTGTCTGTCGCTGTAAGCTCCCTAATTTAATGGCACAATATTTTACTAGGCATCTGGGATTTCGCGCAGTGTAAATTAATTTTGGTCACAGATGAGACAGCCAAACGGTTGCAACAGAAAGGAGAGGGGCAGCGGGCCAGCACACTGACGATGACAACATTAATATAAATTAAACGCACAGGCTCACATTACAAGGACTTCCATTCAGACACAATGTGGATAAATAACAAATGCTTTTAGCGGCAAACAAGAAGCCAGCATTGACTGCTTAAATGTTATTTATGCCCCACCCAACGGCGCAAACATTAAATGGGTCAATTAAACATTGATTGAACCCACCGTCGATCGCCCATCAGCAATTGAAATAATAATAAAAATCAAAAAAAAATCTAACCCAGAACTGTACTCAGCTGTCGTCGCTGCCCACAAAGTGCAATAACCAGGCGTACAATGAACTAGCTTTTGGGTCGTACAACTATATACTATATATATATATGCTATATACAACTAGTCTTCGCACTCAGCCGCATTCACTGACCACTAATCCAAACGTAATCTAAAATAATTGACTATTGCCCAGCGAGGAAACTTAGCAGGATCCTGTCCAACAATGCGACGCTTTTTCAGCACCATCCTGAATAATTTATGCGCGCATTAAATGTGCTCTAAATGTAAGGGTGTCTGTGTGTGTGTGTGTCTCTGTGTGTGTGTGTGTGTGTGTCTGTGTGTGTGTGTGTGTGTCTGGTGTAAGGTCGCTGCGAGGGTTGCCGCCAGCGAAGTGGACATCTTAACAGACATTAAGTTTATGCCCATTCAACTTTAATCAACATTTAATGGTTAACAACTTTTAAAAGATATATAATCTGCAAGCTAATATTAATCAACTTTACTTTTTTATACTGAACTATATCAATATTATAAACTATTAAGGTTTATGCTTGAAAAATTATGAAAACGCTGCAGACATTTTTTTTTTGATCGTAAGTTTGAAGATACTAATGTAACTTTAATCTAGATAATATCACTGAAATATATATTGTATCTAATATATGTTATCTTATTTACACTTCAAAATGGATTTTACTTAATATTTTTCTTCGCAAACACATTTATAGTATTCCTTTGGGTATGCGGTGAGCTTTGGCTTTGGATTTGGTCTGGCTTACAAGCGAATGTGGCATTTATATTGCTGCTACTGCTGCTGCTGCTGCTGGAGCATTTTGGCGTCTTGGGATACTTATGAAATAAGTTTATGGGCTGCTGCTTCAATGCATGCTTCCCTTTTAATGGAGCGCATTGTCCAATAGGCGGCCATTAGCCTCAAGTAATGCAGCAACTGCCAACAACGGGACAAAAACTGGGCTGGGGCAGCTTATCTATGCAACTTCAAAGCTTTTGTGACGGCGCCAACATGACAAACATGGATAAAAAAAGCAACAACGCGTCGTATGTGCAATATCTTTGCCTTTATTTCTTTTGTGTATGTGTCTATATATGTGTGTGTGTGTGTATGTGTATGTGCGGAGAGGCATAAAGCAAAAATGGTGTCGCCAACGGTCGCACAATGCATCTGCAGCAGTGGCGCCCCAGGCTTTAAATCAGTAACGACGACAACTACAACAACTGCAACTACAGCATCAGTTGCACACAGATACTATGCGAAACAGGTAGTATTTTTACTTAACAAAATATACATAAGTAAATATATTTTAAGTGCAGCACAGCAACAAGAAAACGCTCCGTAAAATGTGGAAAGAAAAAAAAAAGTATTAAAAACAAACAAAAGACGGCAGAAACAGTTATATTTTAAGGTGCCGAACATAAAATACCCTTGCAGACTTATGTCGGATGCAGGATATCAATATCTGCTAGTAAACACAGATATTTTGTAAAACACAGATAGTTGATGCGGATCTAAAATAGATGTATAAATTTATTCTATGAGTAGAATGTTTATTTTTCAATGCGTTACTCAGTTGATCATACAATTCCAAAGGAAATTTAAAACTTCATAAAAGTTATATAATCTGCACAGATTTGCAGACAGCGATTGCTTTTAATATATTGTTAAAATGTCAATACTTTTAAGAATTCATGCAACGAAATTCATGATGGAATATTCAATATTTATGGTAAGATTTTAACTGAAAAAGTTGATCATAAAGTAATTCATTAATTCAGCAGTTCGAATAAGAATTATTGTGACAACTCAACTGCAAAAAATTGGTTTGAGATACACAAAATGATATATGAAACTACTGAAACTGCTCTCGCGCTCGTACGCAATGTCCTCATTAAGCATAAGCCATCGCAATGAACTGAATTAAACTGAAACCTGAACTGCAGTTGCGTTTGTCCAATGGACAATTGGTTGATGCAATGACATCGAAACCCACTCTACAATCCCAATGCCCAATCCATAATCCCAATGGCAAACCCCAACGATCCGTATCAATCTGTGTTTGCATGTTGCCTGCCAATATTGTCAATGTTATTGTATCTAATGCTTAGCATGCCTGTGTGTGTCTCTTACTACAAGTAGTGAGTTAAGGGCAAAATCGAACCCAGAAATACGATGTTATCAACGTTTCAGATACAATTTGAAGTACTGCTGCAGGAGTTGTTCTTGTTCATGTTGCTGCTATTGTTGTTTCTTTTGCTGTTGCTGTTGCTGCTCTGGTTCAATGTCTGCTTGCTTCTTGGCTTACAGGCAAATTTGAGCTCATACAATTTGCAGTTAGCCGCCTGCTGCCTGCTGCCTGCTGCCTGCTGCCAGCCGACTGCCGACTGCCGCCTTACGCTTGACTAACTGCCTGAATTGTGCCTGTGACTCGAATTTGCCCCCTGCAGCGTTCACATGGAGTGGAGATGGGCGGCTTTTGCTGGGCTGTCGGCCTTTCTGCACAGCAACTTGTAACTTGGCGCCCCCTGACTTTGTGGGTGTGTGTGTTTGTGTGTGTGTTTGTGTGTGTGGGTGTGTGTGTGGTTGTGTGTGTTGCTGCGGCTTGTTTGGTTTTATTGTGTTTATATTTGGCTTAAGGCATCAATTTGCTTTTACTTATATACACATAATATCGAGCGCGACGACTCTCAGTGACCGACTTGAATGCCAATGTTGAAGCAGCAGCAGCAACAGCAACAACAATTGCGTATCGTTATCAGTCGGCTAAGCAATAATACAAATATGCATTTAGTATATACTCCCACACATACACTCAGACAGCAAATCCAATGGTAAATGCATCGATTTTATAATCCATTTACACAAATAGCATTTTAAATACATTATATTGACAGCACACAGTGCAACAGCTTTGCGTATACGCAATATTTGAACGCTTCCCATTGTTTGAAAGTCCTTGGCGAGCTTACAAATACAACGATAAGTGCTCGCTTCTGTTAGTCCATCAGCTTGCAAATTAGTTTACATTGTGGTCTACTTAAGCGCTTGTTTAATTACAACCTCAAGAATAGGTCAAGATTAGTAAATGCAATTGCAGTGCGGCATTTTATTGGAATTCAATTAGGGATTGTAACCCAATAAGAAATATATACTTAGCAACGATTTAAATATTTTCCACTTGTACGATATCATTATGAATAAGTGGAAAATAGTTATCAATTTTAAGCGGCAATTTTAATGCCACAATAAATTTCAGAGACAAATGCAAATTAACTTTGGCAAATCAATTTCAATGAAATTATGCGAATCGAAAGAGCCGAAAAAACACTTTACATTATGAACTCCATATGCGCATAAAGACACACATATATATATATATATGTGTGTACATGATTACATATAAGCAATTGACGACAAAGAGCAGGCATTATGTCAACTAAATGTCAATTACAAACACTTCTCAATGAGCAGTTCTAAAGCATTTGCCACATGGCGCCACCTGGCGCATTTGTAATCGAAACACAGCTCAAGTGGATGAGTAATGTGCAAATACGAAACGCTTGAAATGCATCAGCAGCGTTAACGTCATTGCAAACGTCATTACCATTGGGCATCATAATGATGATGATTGTTATCTGAAAACGCACGTAACAAAGTTATTTGCGAAAAGCCGCTGACCAGACTCATTCCAGCGCTACACGTCTCGTTCGACAGATGGCGCTGCGCTGTAATTTTATGATGCAATTGCCGATGAGCCGTTAATTAATAAAATGCAACAGAAAATGCAGAAAATATATAAAATAAAAGCCGCTCATTAATAAATATTAACTCATAATTAAGCACGAATCATAATTATTGCAAACTGCAGCACCATCTGCTGTTTTCTTCTTTTACATTTAACATTAATGCGCCGCACAGTGATTTAACAAAATTTAACGAAACTTAAAGCAATATTTAAAAGAAATCGGCACGCCAAGGCAGGTGCAAAAATCAGCCAGCACGAAAATAAAATGCATACGGAAACAACAAACTAAAGGAAGGAAAAGGCAATAACACAACAACATCAAAAATGTAAAAAAAAAAAAAAAAGAAAGAAAGAAGAAAATAATAATAAATAAAAAGCAACCGCAGACACAAAACCTGCCAGAAACTAATGGAACTAATTGTTTGACGAAAGGCGGCCACATAAATATGCAAAAGGGGGGAATTTGGGAGGAGGGGGAGCCATTGTTTGGCCGAAAGTGAAATGCCAATGCCAAGCGCAAGCGCAGCGACTGCAAAGCTCGTGTAATTGGAGCAACTGCAGCAGTCTTAGCCACAATTCCAGCTGCCAGCTGCCAACGTGTGAAAAGTGTATAAAATCATGTGCTTGGCGCGCAGGCGCCGGCAGTCAAAAGTGGCCAACGAAAACTAGCAGACGGATTGTTTGCCAGCCAGCATAGCTGGGAATTGGGGATATATATACATATATATATATATATAAATATTTATTTGAGACAAGAAAAAGATACGTTAGCCAACATGAGGAAGCATTGCGTAAGTAAGCCAGAAATTAAATCTATGCAAATGCCATGCAAATGCCATGGCTCCGGCACACAGATCTGGCGAAACGGCTTTTGGCCAATAACTGTGGCCACAGTGCTGCTCCTGCTGCAGCTCGTGAGTGGCGATCAACAGGCGGAGGATCACAGGTAAGTGGCAGTGGTCAAGTCAAGAGATTTAATAATTGATCGGATGTAAATTTGTGACAGTTTCTGAACAAAAAAAACGATTTGGTTTCAATCATAGCTGACTAGGAAGTGAGTGTTTCCTTTTATTATAGATACTCAGCTATCAATTTACCACTTTTTTGACTGAGGATTATTTAAGGAAAGTCAATTTCAATTATGAATTTGTTTGGCTTACCATTTTATGATAATCAAAAGCTATGGCCACTAAATAACCTAAATACCTTGAGTAAATAGTTTTTACTACAGATAACTGATTTATAGTACTAATAAGAAATGCAACGGGGAATTATCATTTATATTAAAACTTCAAATTCTGCATCTTTTGCATTTTTTAGAATTCAACGCCGTTTCATGTGGCACCAAATGGACAATACTGTAATGGGTGGGATAATGGGTAGCATGTTCAATGGCGCCCGAGCCATGAAGACCATGTTTACTGGGATCTTGCCCAGCACAGCGAGCTATGCCAAAACCATGCTGGACTTCCTGCCAACCGAGACGACGCGGGTGAAATACATCATTCGAGATCCGCATACGAACAAGCCGATGAAGATCATCAAGATGCGTGGCTCGCAGAAGAAGGTTGTGAAACTGAAGAGGCCAATGCCCAAGCCGGTGGTAACAGAGCCCACACAACTGCAATATGAGAATCGGATGCGTCAGCTGGAAAAGGAGCAGGAGCTAATTGTGGAGGGCAGAGCGCCGATGAGCAGCGATGAGGCGCTCATGAATAAATACTTTAAGCCAAAAACGCATCCCAGCAACAGCAATGAGATCGTCTCTGGCAAGATAATGGAGTACCAGAGCTGGAAACCCGTCTACAAATCCGGAGAGCAGCCCACCTCCTATGTCACATTGCGTCCACAGCCGTTGACGCAACTGCACACGCATATAACATCCAGTAATCAAGTCAAGCACAACGATTACGGCAGTTACAACAATCACGAGCTGCTGCCCAAGCCAGAGAAGTTGGTGGGACATATGCCCGATTTGGAGGATGAAGAGGATGATTTCGAGCAGGTCGGGGATGAAAATGATCTGTTCAAGCAAACGGGTCATCAATACGAAGTCACAGAGCACACGGGTGAGGCAAGCGGCGAAGTACAATCCCTGGCAACGATGGAGGGTGGCTTTGTGCCCTCCCATCTCTACCACAGCAGCAATAGTGGCAGCAATCCCAGTAGTAGTAGTAGCATGAGCAGCAGCAGCGGCAGCAGCATCAGTCAAATACCTCGACCACGGAGTCGTGGTATTATCATTATGAGTACCACAAGCACTAGCACCACCGAAGCGCCCAATTATCCACCCGCTTTTCTCAAAAAGTATCGCGAAAGGGAAGCGAATGCCAACCTAAAAGCCATCCACAAAGTGCGACCCAAGCATCATCAGCACAAGGAGCAAATCCTCACCGATGGCAATCCCCAGTCGAATGTGAGCTTTGCATTGAGCACGCTGCGAGCGCGACTCCAGGAGCAGCAGCGTAAAACGAAGCACGAGGAGCGCGATGCCGAAATGGAGGCGGCACTCGTCGAGGCAATGGAGGGCGACAAGTGGCCAACGGAGGTGCAACAGAGTGGCGACTATCTGACCAGTCCCATTGGACCAAGTGCTGTGGCTTTTGAACAGCCGCTAAATCCACCGCGCAACGAGTACAAAAGACCGCGGGCAAACCTGCGACAGCGTGGATCCATCAAGTTTAATGATAATCCCAACGAGGAGATGTAGTCGGCAGATTGCGGGGAGACGGGGGCAAAGGAAAGGCACTTATTGGAGCAGTAACCAAAGCATAGCCAAAGCGTCAGCTAAGCGTTTTTAATTGCCTAGTTGTTAACGTAGTTTTTAAAAGCCAATGAGTAAAAGCAAAACTTAAAACATTTATCATACCATTTCATTTCATTTCATTTCATTTCATTTTCATTTCTCATATCATTTTTGATTTGGAGGGAAGGGAAAACAAGTCATTGCACTGCTGGCACGCAATACAACTTCATCATTGTCTTTGAGTGCGTTTTGCCATGTGGCAAATGCACTTTAATTATTGTAAAAAAAAGATACACACACACACACACACATTCCCCAAGTCGTTGGCATTTATCGCATTCACTCATTGCATTTGACAACCAATTTAAAATACTCGGAATTGACCCCAAAAAGCGACTACATTAAAAACAAAATAAAAAAGAGCCAAGCAAATAAAACTGGGTTAAACCTGCTATAAATTCCAGTGACAAACCAGAACAAAAGACAGCCATAAGACATTGTAAGCTTAAACATTTCCAGAGAGACAACTACAAGGGCACTTCTGCACCTCCAGCTCCTCGCAATAGAAACGGAAAACAGAAAACAGCAGGAGAGAAATGCAACAAATACGGTTTTTAATTAAGTACCCAAAGCAATGGCGACAACAACTGAATTAAGAGCCAACAACTGGCCAACAGAATGCCAATAGCAAATAAATGGTAGCAGAAGACCGTAAATGAAGAAAGCAGCAAGCAAAACAATGGTCGCTCAACTTGGTTGCCAAAGGAATGCAATTAATTTGAGCCAGTTGCAAGTAAAGCTCCATTAACGCCTGCAGTTACTTAAAGTACTAACAAATGGAATGTTATTAACTTATATTATCCGACTCCGATGGCTAATTATTGTATTCCAATAAGAAGTTTATCGTCTGCATCTGTTAATACAATCGACACGGTTACAATAACGATTGCTGTTGCCACCACAGCCAAGGAAACGCATTCGCTCACAGTTCCGCACACGTTGATCATAATACCACATTTCGTGCATGGCTCTATTACGACAATTAACCCAGCGACTGTGGCCAGAATCCATGCGCCCACTGCAGCCGAGTATCATCGGACGTCCAATGCAGAATGCTTGCGATTGAGCCAATGCCACGTAGAGCGTCCAACACGCGAAGATGAGCAGCAATCTCATATTTAATGTGTACAACAAAGTTCTCCAGCTTGAACTGATTTGCAAACGTGACTTAAAGCACTTATAAAGCGCAATTATAAAATGAAAATATTAATCTACAATTATATGGCATTGATTATGCGACAGCTGTTTCAACATGTCCTAAAAGAAACATTGTGCCATGCGTGAAATGCATTGTGTTCTTATACACAATTGGAATTTTATCACGTGCGAAATGAATGATGTTCGCTTTTGCTCGCAATGTATTTATATTTAGTCCATATTCGTTGCATTCATTGAAATAATTTTCATTTATCGCCTGCATCGATCCACACAATCGTCATAAGAGCAGTAACGATTGCTGTTGCCACCACATCCAAGGTAAGGCATACTCAGACAGTTGTGTGAACGTATATCAAAAGACCACATTTCGTTCATGGCCATATTACGAATATAATGAAAACATTAACCAACAAAAATAAGGCCAGCTGTTCCCAAATAAAACATTGTACATTATGTAATAAAAAGGGTCATTTTAATGAATGACATTCTGTTTTGCGTGTCAATAATTAAATATTTGCAACTTGTCGCCTGCATCTAGTTAGACATTCGTCTTGGGAGCAGTGACGATTGCTGTTGCCACCACAGCCAAGGAAACGCATACTCGTACAATTGTTTGAAGCTTGATCGTAATACCACATTTGGTCCATGGCTCTAATTATGCAGATAATCCCCCGAGAGTTTCCAGCATCCATGGCGCCAGTGCAGCTTTGAATAAGTGGACGTCCTACGCAAATTTGGGATTGTGCGAATGCCACGTAGAGCGTCAGACAGGCTAAGATCAACAGGAATCTCATTTTTAATGTGATCGTTGAAGTTTCCACAGCTCGAACTGGTTTCAATATACGGCATTACGCGCTTTTATAGTCCCAGAATATAGGGCGTTGATTATGCGAAAGCTTTTTCAACTTAAAATAATAACAGAATAACAGAAAGCAGTCGTCAAAAGAATTGGGGTAACTATGAAATGCCAAGTGTTACAAGGAAAAAGTGATCTTATCACATACTAAATAAATAAAATTACAATTTATATGATGATATTCTATTTAAATCTATATAAAAATAAAGAAAGGTTGGAACATCTCTGATTTTGAAAGATATTTATTGATTATTATATTGTTGATAGTCTTTGCTTCTTTTTAAACTTTTATTGGATTACCAAAGAGTGAAGGTCATATAGAAAAGACTAACAGACGACAGGATCTCCAGCGATTGTGGCCCGCGTTCATGCAACCAATTTGAACCAGATTTGAAACATCGGACGTGCAACACAATCGCTCTAGCATTGAGTGTAAGCCACGGACAGCGACAGAAACGCTAGGATCAACCTAAATCTCATTTGTAATGTAGTTGTAGAACTTGTAGACTGTACAGCACTGATTGCCAAAACATGACATAAAATGCTTATTTAGCCCACGAATATAATGAAAACATTAACCAACAAAAATAAGGCCAGCTGTTCCCAAATAAAACATTGTACATTATGTAATAAATAATTAATGGCATTCTGTTTTGCGTGTCAAATTTGTAATCCATAATCGTTGCACCTATTTAAATATTTTCAACTTATCGCCTGCATCTAGTTAAACATTCGTCTTGGGAGCAGTAACGATTACTGTTGCCACCACAGCCACGGTAACGCATAGTCAAACAAGTGTTTAAATCTCGATTGTAATACCACATTCGGTCCATGGCTCTAATTATGCAGATAATCCCCCGAGAGTTTCCAGCATCCATGGCGCCAGTGCAGCTCTGTGCAGGTGATCGTCCTAGACAACTTTGGGATTGTGCGAATGCCACGTAGAGCGACAGACAGGCTAAGATCAACAGGAATCTCATTTTTAATGTGATCGTTGAAGTTTCCACAGCTCGAACTGGTTTCAATATACGGCATTATGCGCTTTTATAGTCCCAGAATATAGGGCGTTGATTATGCGAAAGCTTTTTCAACTTTATAATAACAGAATAACAGAAGGCAGTCGTCAAAAGAATTGGGGTAACTATGAAATGCCAAGTGTTACAAGGAAAACGTGATCTTATCACGTACTAAATAAATAAAATTACAATTGATATGATGATATTCTACTTAAATCTATATAAAAGTAAAGAAAGGTTGGAACATCTCTGATTTTGAAAGATATTTATTGATTATTATATTGTTGATAGTCTTTAGTTCTTTCTAAACTATAGAAAAGACTAACAGACGACAGGATCTCCAGCGATTGTGGCCCGCGTTCATGCAACCAATTTGAACCAGATTTGAAACATCGGACGTGCAACACAATCGCTCTAGCATTGAGTGTAAGCCACGGACAGCGACAGAAACGCTAGGATCAACCTAAATCTCATTTGTAATGTAGTTGTAGAACTTGTAGACTGTACAGCACTGATTGCCAAAACATGACATAAAATGCTTATTTAGCCCACGAATATAATGCAAACATTAACCAACAAAAATAAGGCCAGCTGTTCCCAAATAAAACATTGTACATTATGTAATAAATAATTAATGGCATTCTGTTTTGCGTGTCAAATTTTTAATCCATAAACGTTGCATTTATTTAAATATTTGGAACTTATCGCCTGCATCTAGTTAGACATTCGTTTTGAGAGCAGTAACGATTACTGTTGCCACCACAGCCAAGGTAATGCATACTCAAACAATTGTTTGAAGCTTGATCGTAATACCACATTTGGTCCATGGCTCTAATTAAGCAGACAAGCCCCCTAAAGGTTCCAACATCCCTGGCGCCAGTGCAGCTCTGTACAGGTGGTCGTCCTTGACAACTTTGGGATTGAGTGTTTGCCACGTAGAGCGACAGACAGGCTAAGATCAACAAGAATCTCATTTTTAATGTGATCGTTGAAGTTTCCACAGCTCGAACTGGTTTCAATATACGACATTAAGCGCTTTTATAGTCCCAGAATATAGGGCGTTGATTATGCGAAAGCTTATTCAACTTTATAATAACAGAATAACAGAAGGCAGTCGTCAAAAGAATTGGGGTAACTATGAAATGCCAAGTGTTACAAGGAAAACGTGATCTTATCACATACTAAATAAATGAAATTACAATTGATATGATGATATTCTATTTAAATCTATATAAAAGTAAAAAAAAAGGTTGGAAAATCTATGATTTTGAAAGATATTTATTGATTATTATATTGTTGATAGTCTTTGCTTCTTTTTAAACTTTTATTGGATTACCAAAGAGTGCAGGTGAAATAGAAAAGACTAATTTAAATGGGTAAAATGCACACTAAGCGGAAAAGGAAAATAAATTTATTCGGTACAAGCGACAACCGATTTGCATGTTTTTTTTTTTGTATCCTGCTTGCATCTCTAACATCGATTAATTGTCTGTTTAATCTGCATTTACCTTGATTTGGAGAAATTAAGTTGCCTGTCCTTGTTATTCTAGAGGTCGTTAAAAGTGATTCTTGTTAACTCAATCGTTGCTTAACTAATGCAATAATGACACACTGCTTAGAGTCCTGCGGCCTTGCTGTTACACTCGCCCATTTGTCCATTTTCAACCATTTGAGAACTTCTCCATTTCAGCTTGAGTCATTAAAAGCTCCAATTGACTATCGTTGAGCGCTTGGCTGTGCGAAGCGTCACCAGAAATGCGATTAAGATTGCAGCACCTAAGTAAAGCAGCAATAACAAATCGCTGAAGCACGCCTTGAAACTTTCAAGGACATTATTGGGCACGTGGCTAGATCTGGAGCGGGGGCGGGGCTGA